ACGACCGACGGTCAGGCGGTCAGTTTGTCTTGTTGTCAAGCCCATTTGGGGCCCAAGACCAGATTGCTGTTACTGCCAGACGGTTGAGGGTTTGTTGATGTTGGGGGCCCCCTCTCACGAGAGGACGGGTCTGTCGTTTATAATTGGTGCTGAGCCTCGCCAGCGCAATCATTCTCGGGTCCGAGTTCCTCGGGACTCATGACCATATTTTGCTGCCCCGGATTTGAGACTCCCCAGCATGGAGGACCAGGCCTTCATATTTATGTCCCCCAGGTAGAGGGTGGCCCAGTTATAACCCCAGCCACTGGGTTCCATTTTCGTCGCCTCCTACGACTCGCAGGGCTACGGTGGAGGTATTCGAACCCGCCTCCACACGGAGATTAACGACTGTATTTCTTATAAATAATACGTAAGCATCAAGACCGTACCTCACAGGAAACACACTCCGTCGCCATAACAACGCCCAACCGGTTAATGCTGTTTAGGGAAATAATCGCTGTTTACTGTGAGAACCATACGGAACACATAAATACACTGTGTGGGCAGAATGGAGAGTTTTAGTATCTTGAAGCCCGTACCTCACAGGAAACACACTTCGTCTCCATAACAATGCCCAACCGGTTAATGCTGTTTAGGGAAATAATCGCTGTTTACTGTGAGAACCATATAGAACACATAAATACACTGTGTGGGCAGAATGCAGGGTTTTCTGATGCTGAAAGAGGTAACGACAGGGCTTTAAAAGGTTAAGTCTATGTGTGGGACACAGACAAACTCAATTTCGTGACGAATTAAGTTAGGTCACGGAATGCGAATGGTTTCTCTTCCGTGGATAACAAGAGGGATTAAGGACGTGGGCAGTGGCGACCCGAGCGCGGCGCGTCCAGTAATTAGACCATACAGCTGAGGGTGCTAAGGTGGCAGCTGAATGGCTTGGAAGGGGTTTGCAAGGAGGTGGCAATCGCCCACTCGAGATACTATCCCGGAATTTGCCTGGAGGGACTAGGAAAAAAAACGAACACTCTCAGACAGGATAGCCGGTTCCTCAGCTCAGATTCGAACCAAGAAATTCCCCAATGCTAGTCCAGTGTATTGCCGCAATTTCACCCCGCTTCTTGTTACGTTCAGGGAGGGGTGGGTTCAAGCACGTGTACCCACGGCCTGAAAGGGATACAGTACAAGGAAAAATAATACTGAAGGGTTGATTCGCCGTGCAGTTCGGAAAGAGCCCGATGTTTTCTCGGCGGTACATATCCCACTCAGTTTTCAGGGTCGAAGACCAGGCGAAGCAAGAAACCACCTGTTTCTACAGCTTCCTTGCTATGTTTATAATTACACCCTGAAGATGGAGTTGATATGTCCCTCTGAAACGTCAGGATCTCTCTGAACTACAAGGGCCAGCAGCAATGTTATGCTCTGGCTCCGGAGTGCTCTTAAGGTCCATTTTACTTGAAGCTACAATTCCATTCTGGTGTAAAGTTACACCTCAAGAGTCCCTAGAGTGCATGGCTCTCTTTATGACTTGACAATCTCATTTTATACGTTATACAACAACCGTAACTGGATAACAGATAATCCGGCACGTGAATTTGTGTGCGAGCTCAGCAACTTGCAGCAAACCTGTGCACTGTCAGTGTTATCGCCGCAAGATGTAAGCACATTACCATTTTGCAATGTGGTTGGGGTGTTGAAACACAGTAATGAAATTCCAGGGGTAATTTTTAAAGAATATTCGAGAAGTTTTAAACCAATTACGGGCCAGGGAGCATGTCTCACGCTCTCGCCTGCACCCCAAAATCGCGACGCCACGCATAAAAACATTTCATGAATATTCATTCGTAATTTCAGTGTCGCTTTCCTTGCAATAATAAGCCAATAGATAGGATTACTGTCAAAGTGACGCAATTCTCGTGTAAAGCGAAGTTTGTAGGTGTACAGCATGTCAACTTCTGAGGAACACGACTTTCTGGGATGTGACACAAGCAGGATTGGTTGAGTCTGTCTTTAAAAATAGGTTAAAGCTATCCCTGTAACAGGCAGCGAAGGCCCATAGGGTTGTGAGACGTCGAGGCCCCCACATTTTCTCTAGACAATCGGCTGACAAATGGCGGTGAGGCTGTCGATCTTAAGCGCCAGTCGCCCTTTACTGGTGCTTAACTTTGTATAAACCGTCCGGACGGATGCAGCAGGTTCCATAGACAAGTTGGTACCGCTCTACCAGACAGCACGATGTCACATCCTTAGCCTTATTCACTGTTCCCATGAACGGTATTCCGTATTCCGTATTGAAGGGGTGGGTTTCCCCATGCACTTAGACCGGTTACTGGTCCATTGTGCGTCCCCCTTTAATTTCTACTGTCTCCATACCCTACCGGTACTGGTGCTTACTATCAGTCCCTTTCTGCCAGCGAGGTTCCAACCTCTTACTGGCAGTGGTATCTAATAGTTAGTCCCTTTCTGTCAGCGAGGTCGTCCCTCCTCTGGCAGGGGTTCCTAGTCCCTTTCTGCCAGCAAGGTTTCTACCCTCTACTTGGCAGTGGTATCTAATACTTTAGTCGCTTTCTGTCAGAGAGGTCCCCCCTCCTCTGGCAGTAGTACCTGATACCTCCCCCATCTACCGGAGGAATTGGAAACTAGTTGGGCGGGAAACTTGGCCTAATTTTGCTCAGAGGCCTCCTAGAGACATGAGGTTCTTTTACGTGCCGTAAATCTACGACACGGGACCCACGGCTTAAAGTCCCTCCCGGTACTGTTCTCTGAATTTTTCCGCCCTTAAAAATTCCACGACCTCCGCCGGGTTTTTGAACCCGCGTACCTTGAGTCATGAGGTGGGAACGTTACCTCTAGACTACGGAGGCCGCTCCCATGAACGGTAAGACTTCCTTGGATGTTACGCCGCGTAGCTAGGAGACAGCCCGACGTTTCGGAGGAACATATTACCTCCTATGTTGAGAAGCGAAGAGTATACCAACAAATAAATGAGCAAGAACACACGGTAAGAGCAGTTGCATTTTTATTCGACTTATTTTTCGGTCCCGAAATTGAAGGTGACGCGTTCGTCCGAAACGTCGCTCTCACGCCGAATAACGTGGCCCTATATTTGACAAGTCTTATACTGGGTGCGTGCCCAGCACTGCGTGTTGATTGCATCACGTGAGAACAGCCGTTCGCTGGGACGTTACACGGCGCTTACCAATTCACATCCAACGGTGCGGAATTGAGTGTAAATGAGACTGGATTAAAATTAAAATGTAAATTGGAATGGTTAAAATGATACGCGGATTTCCATGTTCCAGCTAACAGTCTAAAATACATCATTGCTTTCCATTTATCTTATCAGAGCCCTGAGCGCACATACAAAAAGTTTACACAGCCAGAGTCAGAGTCAGCGTCAGATTCAGAGTCAGAGTCACTTTATGACCGCCGGTTTACCGCCAATCAGTTCGTCTTGACGTCAAGCACTTTGAGACCCACAACCAGAGAATACTTTTACTGAACCCTTACTGTTATAATCCTTATGTAACATCCTATCTGACGAGAAGATGGGCTTATCTCTTATGAATATGCTTTTCCTTTGTCACGTGTACGTATCGCACTTATGGCATGTTATTGAAAATTCTTCCAAGTCCCCTGTCAGTACAGTCTTTGCAAAGCAGACCATGTCAATATTACGTATCTTATGCTACAACGGCAGGTTAGACTCGCTTCATGAATAGTTAACCCAAAGTCAGATGAATATCCAGTCTGTACCTCACGGGAAACACACTCCGTCTCCATAACAACGACCAACCGGTTAATGTTGTTTAGGGAAATAATCGCTGTTTATTGTGAGAATCAACGGAAAACGTAAATACACTGTGTGGACAGAATATATGAAGAAAACTGTATATATAATTATCACTTCAGCCTAAGCTGCTATAAAATATCGATAATAAGTACCAAATTTCTTCCAAATATTCCGAAACTGTTCACCTGTATCATGAGCCCATATTTGTTGTGTTAGAAAGTTCATAGTAGCCTGACACCGGCCTGTGATGAGCAGACTCCTGAATACGGAATATAAACAAATTCGGCGCAACCGTTCAGGCGCTAGCAAGGCGCACCTACAGGCAGACACACATATTGTGCCGTGTAAAGCCGTTGCTATGCAATGAACGCGAGATGGGTGGATATACCAGACCCATTTCTAAGCAGCAAATCCTTAACAATATAAAAGTTGGACTATAACAATGGAAACAGGGTGTTTCTGCATGGTCCGTACTGAGATGTTATAAGCAAGGGACAGAGCCAGAAGTTCAGTTCACTTGCGGGATATTCGCCGAACAGTAACGACGTGAGCACAAAAGCTGAAGAATCTTCACTCTTAAGATCCGTTACCAGGCAACGACTAGTGAAAGCAAACTGAAAGACTTTGTGTATGCTCTAGTGGTTTGTAAAGCGTATGAATTAGCGATAGCGCTGTAATTGCGCGTAGTTCCGCGCCGTGTGTGTAAATGGTCACTAAATCCATTCATCAGTCCAAACCCGGTCTATACTACACGTGACAATACGTACAAATTTAGTACAACACCGAGAGACCACTTGGTAGAGCTAGGCGTGGATGGAAAGAAAGTAAAATAAAGAATGATAAGGAAATAGTGTAGGAGAGTGTGATCAGGATTAATCTGGCTTAAGATACGGAACAGTGCAATGAACTTTCAAGCCCCACAATATATTAGGAATTTCTTATGTAGGTGATCAACTATCAGCTTAATCCGAGAATCTCATAGCGGTGGATATGAAGAGTTGTATATTCTGGCTGTAACGCTATTTAGTCCGTTGAAAGACAGCCGACGTTTCGAAGGAGCATGTCGACTTCATATTCAGGGTCTAACAATAAGCTACGGAAGAAAACTGCGTGAAGTGGGTAGCAAGCAGAGACCTGGTTTCTACCTTAACGATGGAGGCGGCGTGTTCCTCCGAAACGTCGGTTGAGGTTACATGAGGATGTCTGTACTCACTTGCAGGATGCCGTACTTGAGCTCGACGTCCAGGAAGTGGTACTCCCGGGCATGCGGTGGGCGGGGCAAAGTCGCGGGCTGTGTCTGAGAAGAAGCGCCCGTGGAGGGAGGTCCGACGCCTCCACCACCGCCGCCACCAGACTCCTGGTAAGCCAGTACGTTGGCCAGACTGGCGAGGACGGGCTCCGACGCGAAGGCCAGCGTTTCGCTACACTCCTCGACAGAGTGCACCACTTGCAGGATCTTGGGGTGCCGGAACCTCCCGAGCTGCCTTACACTGGCCCTGAGAATCTCCGTCACCGTCTCCTTGCGTTTCGGCTTGTGCAGCTTCTCGGCGCAGCGCTTCTCGAACAGGAACACGGACACCTCCTGCAACAGCACAAGTGAGGGAACCCTTGAGGAAGGGGTACGTCCGCTGTTGGAAGCCGCTACCAGGCAATGGCAGTGGGAACTAGCGTATAACTAACAGTGAACTGTAAAATGTAGCCACGCGCTGTTATGAACGAGTTCAATACATCCGGTCATCAATCCAAATTCCGCGTATGGTCACACTATCACGTGACAATATGAATTCTTGTGAAACATGGAAGTGTGTGTCTGGGCCGTGGGAAACGTAGCCCGTGCTCGGCGTGTAGCCTAACGTCCGGGGGTTCCGGTCAATGTTTATATACAAAATGTACTCTAAATCTTTTGAATAAATAATGCTTACTAAAAATTAGTTGTTTTTTTTTTCGTTTGAAGTCCAGTAATCCGAACGGCGTGATGCTCTGAACGCTCGACGGCACTGGGTGCAACAGAAGTAGCTTCACCCGGGTTTCTGCCATGTACGAATATGCGAATAATGTTATTCGGCTATTCTGCTTTGCTCTGCGAGCCCTTCCTAACTTCTTTAATATTAACGCAGACGTATATATATAATAAATTACCACTGTAATTTAGAATGAGTTCACAGACTCACAGAGAGCGAGTTCATTAAGGGCAGATACTCCGCAATGGCGATCATGTTTGAGCAGCAAATTGAGTTCAGGATTTCGGATAGAAGAGCGGGCTTAAGTTTAGTTTAATTTAACTTCCCCCCCCCCCCCNCTCCCCCCCACTCAGGGCTGAGATCGATATAAAAGAGCTGCAATCCGCTTTGCCTCCACGTACACAGTATCCCGTAGCCTACAGGTGCTTGTAAAACGGGTAGCCTATACTAGTCGAATTGTGGGCAAACATCAGTTCTATGTTATTTCATAAAGTTATATCAACTTAAGAAGCTATTTACATAGTTATTTATGTAGAATTGGAAGATAATATTAGCTACGAGTGAATATGCCCCATAAGCAATCTCTGTTTTAAGCTACACCTATGTTAGCAACAAGTGCCCGTACACTCCTGGCTAGGGGCTGGACGGCCTAGGGATCGGTGTTCGATTTCCACGTTGTCCACAGCGGTTCTGGGGCCCACCTACACTACTATCGAATGGGTACCTGGGCCTATTTCCCCGGAGGTAAAAGGGCCGGGGCGTGAAGCTGACCACTCATCTCAAAGTAGTGCCACGGTCAAAAATATGTGGATGTATACACCCACTCCCACATACGCCTTCTTGGCATACTGCTTAATGAGATAGTCACAGGGGCAACTTTAGCTTTCTTTTATGGGGTGGGGTGAGGAGTTGGGACGCTGATATCGTGCAGAAAGCTGCGGTGATGGGCAAAATCATGAATAGCAAAGGATCTGTAAGGAAGCGTGCGTCGTCTAATGGGAGTGTTACCCCGGAATTTGAGTGGATGGACTGAGAAGAACCACGACAGAACTAAGGTGCGGTAAGATTCGAAAGCACTTCCTGCATACAAGTCCAGACCTTATACCTCTGTGCTAACCCGCTAGACCATGATCCTAGACACTGTAACTCTAGATGACCGAAAGATGCGATCCACTGACTGGCTCTCCTGCTTCGTGTTGAGGAGATCGAATCCCGGGCGAGACTCCAAGTATATTGCCTTAGGTTTTGCGTGATTTTCATCAGTTCACAGACACAAGTGCTCGGATTGGACTGGTTGTTTTCAGATCCTTTCTTATTCATCGTATTAACTGTTCATTCTGCCGCTCGGCACTGTATAACATGAGTTACAAGCAACATCTCCACGTGGTGGTGTGGGATGAAGATAATGAAGTATCCTTCTTTACCACGATCACTCTGATACCGCTGCCACGGAGAGCATCCACCTGTTGCGCGTGACGTATCAACAAGTAGACAGGGGTCACTTGATGCCCTCTTCAGCTCACACGAAAAGGGGGGAAGGGGGAAAGGAGATCGATACACCACGTAATATTAACGGAATAAGACACACCGGTAACTATGCACGAGTTAACACACAAATATGCTAATTTCCTCCACCCTCAAGCCAAAGTTATGTTGCGGTCAGTCGGCCAGTGTGTCTTGCTGTCACCCGCACCTGGGCCCCGAGACAAGTTCTTATTATTGTCAGACAGTTTCGCGTTTGTTGGTGTTGTCGAGAGAATGGGTCTGTCCTTTACAACTGCTGCTGGCCCTCGCCAGCTTAGTTATTCCTGGGCCCGAGTCCCGCGGGACTGATGACCATATTTTGCTGTCTCAGATTTGAGACTGCCACAACCTGGAGGGCCAGGTCCCCTTATTTATATCCCCACAGGAAGAGGGTGGCCCATTTATACCCCCAGGCACTGGGTTCCCTTTTCGTCGGCTCCTACGACTCTCAGGGCTATGGTGGAGTTATTCGAACCCTCCTCGACGCGGGAAACCTGCCACTTACTCTGTCCACATAGTGCATTTGTGTTTCGTATGATTCTCGCCGTCCGTACCTCACAAGGAACACACTCCGTCTCCATAACAACGCCCAACCGGTTAATGCTGTTTAGGGAAATAATCGCTGTTTATTGTGAGAGCCATACGGAACACACAACTACACTGTGTGGGCAGAATGGAATACCTATTAATGTTCGCGCAGGTGGTACACATAGTTACCACTGTGCTCTAATGGGATAATTTGTTCCCTGGTCGCGTTTCCACTTCCTGTCATGAGGCAAGAGCCGCGAAACGAGCCTTCAGTAGCCTCAATAAGCCGACCGCCATGTTGGTTGGTGGGACGCGTTCGGAAATGACACCAGACCGACTGCCACACTGCCCTCATTACAATGCAAATCACGTAACAGGGCCTGACGTCAAATGTTCCCCTCTCACCGTCCCGCTTTTTGCCATCAACAATTTCATTGCTAATTGCACATCAGTACATTCTGTCAATATATAGATGGATGATCATCATTAATCATCAATTTTCATGATCGATTAAATTTACAGACCCGCACAAAATAAAAAGCCATTACAAATCCCTTTCGAAAAGTAACTTGCAATTCACAAGCCTGCAGGATAATGTGTCCAGTTGGATTACTTTACAAGTTTTTTGTTGCTAGTGGGGTGGGACTAAGTCCCTTGTACTATTGTACCAGCCCCAGATGATAGGTGAGGGTGATTGTGGAGCAGTTGGTGGAATGCAGATTGGCAGGGGAAACCGAAGTACTCGGAGAAAACCTGTCCCACCGCCACTTTGTCCACCATAAATCCCACTTAACTAGAGCCGGGATCGAACCCGGGCCGCCGCGGTGGGAAGCCAGCGACTAAGCGCTTGAGCTATGGCGCGGCATAGGTTACAATTTTAATATGATAATGGAACGAGTAGTCGTT